GAATGGATACGTTTTGTTAGGAGTCGGAAGGAAGCTCGTCAAAGAGCCGGCTTCCAATCCTGACTGAAATGACTTAAGAATACACAACACGATAATCAGTATCACAACTGGAGTCAATTCCAATCAGCGAAAGAATCTAAGTCTTTCGCATATGTCGAAATATTGCATGATCAACGGCGTCTACTGTATACTCAAACAAAGGGTATCTTCCGGTTTGAAAAACCTTAAATTGCTTAATAAGTTTGAATCCTACCACTGTTACACTTGGATCCGAGGTTTCCAAACTCCATACCGCATTCATTCTGTGCACGTGAAATTCCACATTTTTAATCCTGTGGGGAAGAGGTGATAGAGTTTTTCAATTAATGCGGATCATGTTGTACTCGTTATAGGCAATATTAATAAACTGACGGATGCTATGTACTATAAATGAACATTTTACAGTCTTAAGTAATCGCATGCCCATATTTTTTTTTCAAAACCGAAAGATACACTTTCTTTAGCCATAGGACTTTAATGAGGCATGGTTTTTTTTACCAAACAATTACAAAGGGGAAAATGTTTGTGCATGTTTTATAGAAAACTTTTTTGAAAATCAAGGAGAAAAATGCATAATAGTTAAGTAGTGATTTTTACAGAAGATGCTTTTTGCGGGTGATTAGAACTAAGCTTCTTCAAAAGCCGGCAACCAGAGGTGCTTGAAATATCTTAGGATTAGCCTGCATGAACATCAGTATTACAACCCTACGTACATAATTTGTTCGAATCGAAAACACATTTCTGAATTTCGGTTGACATTTCATGAGGCAGGGGATTTACTTTAAACAGTAGGCAAAACGGTAGGGGCAGGTCTCGCAACCCGATAGGTTATCGCCCTCTACCATTTATCAGAGAGCTTTGGGGTCAATGTAAACGTCCACACGAGATTTCTGCTGAGCAGTGGCCGAATACTTATATTGATTGGCTAAAAGAGGGTTTATAGTGTGAACATTTCAACTTCGATAACTTAAACTACATGCGTGGATGGGAACCTGCAAGTCTGGCATAATCATACTTGTCTCAGCGTCTTTCGTCTAAGTTTTAAATACTTTTAACGTGACTCTACCTTAGGAGATTCACCCGCTCAGTAGACATATGTAATGAAAGCGCTGGACTGTACAGGTAACACCGTCTGCGGTCCCCTACGTGGTCTGCATCCCTTTAATAAAACAGACTAGAAATGAATTTTTATTTAGAAAATGGTTTCCTGCGCCTCATACAACTCCAAAAACCTACAAGATTTAATGTTTACCATACTATCCATTCAATTCAATGGTCACCCGAATGACCTGACCAAGAATCAGGTCGAGTAAAAACTGAGCTTGTAAACTGTTGTTTGTCCGTTATACCGAAAGTTACGTTTTTGGTGCTTGCCTTGTTATTGCTTAATTACGTCAACGGGATTTTTTTCTTGAACATCGTCGTGGTTAAAAGGTGGTTCAGCTGTACTCAAACGATAGTACTAGTCAAACGATCGACCCGTATCATTCAATTTCATGATCTCTACTTACTGGGATGTAATGGCATATTTTAATGGCATATGTTTCGTACTATTTCTTAAACAACTATGGTCCTGTTCAATCAGTGCAACCACCCCCCTCTCTTTGCATTTCAACAGGAAAAGTCAGTGGGAGGAGACATTCCACGAGATGGATGCCGACCACTCGGGTCAACTGACTGCCCAGGAAGTCTACCAGGGACTGCTGAAGAGTGGCGTCGGTTGCAAACTGGAGGAAATCGAGGCCCTGATCGCTGAGGTGGACGAGGACGGCAGTAAAACTCTGTGTTTAAGAGAATTCCTTAACTTAATGCGAATGCAGGATTAAAGACATTTGAAGTATATGTTATTATACAGATGTATGAGTAAAAGTCAACTGATGATTCCACTTGTCCTACAGCTCAACCTACAGTTGGACTGACGAGTTCGACCATGTGTTCACCGTGTGCTCCACCACAGGGTGATGCAGGGACGGTGGCTTTCACGTGAACAGGCTTTAAGTGATAGCAAACTTGCGCAGCATCTATCAAACCCTCTCTCTTCGCTCACCCACCTGAGCCCGGCTTCAGGACACAGTTAAGAAGACCGGAGGCGGGATCGGACACAGGTGGCTGGCGCGACCGAAGCCGTCCCTAGGCGTGTCGCCACACCTGGCCAGGATCACAGCTACGTGGGAGTGCCATAAAGGCCACATTAAGAAGCAGCCATAGCAGCCTGACTCT